GAGATGGGGTTTCACCATGTTGGCCAGGCTGGTCTCGAACTCCTGACCTCAAGTGATCCACCCACCTCAGCCTCCCAAAGTGCTGGGAGTACATGCATGAACAACCATGACCGGCCTAATTTTTGTATTTTTATTAGAAATGGGGTTTCACTATTTTGGGCAGGTTGGTCTGGAACTCCTGACCTCAGGCGATCTGACCACCTCCTTTTGTTAATTTTTAATTTTTTTTTCTTTAGGAGCAACTCTATTAACGGACCTATTTCATTACATCAAACTAAAATCTGCTTTATGTTTACCTTGTATTCTTCAGAATCTTACAGTCTAAGAGGCCAAAGGGATAATCTAATCCAGTGGTTCTCAAAGTGCAGTCCTGGACTAACAACATCAGTGTCACTAGGAAACTGTTAAATATGCAAATTGGGCTGGGTGTGGTGACACAAGCCTATAATCCTAGCACTTTGGGAGACTGAGGTGGGAGGACTGGTTGAGCTCAGGAGCTCAAGACCAGCCTGGGCAACACCTCCCACCCCCAACCCCACCAACATCTCTATTTAAAAAAAAAAAAAAAAGAAAAGAAAGAAAGAAAAAGAAAAAAGATATGCAAATTGTATGCTCCAACTCCAAAACTTCTGAATCAGAAACTCTGTTGGTGGGGCCCTGCAATGGAGTTTTAACACACTATCCAGGTAATTCTGATATAGCCTAAAGTTTGAGAACCACAGATTTTATCCAAACCCCTCACTAAGGTGATTTGCTTAAAGGAACAAGGTTTCTTAGAAGTGACCATGCTAGGCCGGGTGCGGTGGCTCACGCCTGTAATTCCAGCACTTTAAGAGGCTGAGGTGGGCAGATCACAAGTTCAGGAGATCGAGACCATCCTGGCGAACAAAGCGGAACCCTCTACTAAAAATACAAAAAATTAGCTGGGGGTGGTGGCAGGCGCCTGTAATCCCAGCTACTCAGGAGACTGAGGCAGGAGAATGGCATGAACCCGGCAGGAAGAGCTTGTAGTAAGCCGAGATCGCGCCACTGCACTCCAGCCTGGGCAACAGAGCAAGACTCCGTCTCAGAAAAAAAAAAAAAAAAAAAAAGAAGTGGCCATGCTAGGCTATCAACCCCAAGTCCAATTCATCTAATACTTATCCTATGCTGTCCCACTATGAGTCCTGGTTCTTAACTCTGGGGTAAGAAAGCATAAACCAAACTTCTATTTCATAACAATAACCCTTCAATTATAGTATCTCCCTTTCCCTACTATCATTTTCTGTTCCCTGAGTTCCAGCAACATTGTGTCATGTGCTTTATATTTTATCTTATCCTGTTAAAAGTTGTCAGTTTGAATGGAGCACAGCCCTCCTGGTAGGCAGTAGAAGCCAAAAGAATTACAGACCAGGCTGGGCGCAGTGGCTCACCACTGTAATCCCAGCACCTTGGGAGGCTGAGGCGGGTGGATCAGGAGGTCAGGAGTTAGAGACCAGCCTGACCAACATGGTGAAAACCCGTCTCTACTAAAAACACAAAACTAGCCAGGCATGGTGGGGCACCTATAATCCCAGCTACTCAGGAGGCTGAGGGAGGAGAATCTATTGAATCCAGGAGGCCAAGGTTGCAGAGAGCCAATACAGTGGCACTGCACTCGGCCTGAGCGACAGAGTGAGACTCGGTCTCCAAAAAAAAAAAAAATTACACACCAAATTCCTTAAGTTGATTGGAATTATATAGAACTAATTAATGCATTTCTCATGTATCTTATCTACTCTGTCATTTGTCTCCTTTTGCATTTAAAGGAAATATTATTCAACACATCCATATAATCAGTTTCCCTACCCTGATATCAAGGGTCAGTCAATACCATATATCCCACAAACTGATGACTTCTGATATACTGTACATAAATATGTAAAGGTGAGCAAGGCACCATAAAGTATGAGTAAACCCAAAAATATATGCAGTAAGTTTAAAGAAAGAAAAAGGGAAGCAGAGTAAAGATTAAGTCAATCCTTTCATTGACACATCAACAGCAAAAGCAAAAATAACCCAAGGAAGTTATTTGTTAAACCTTAAAAATAATAATGTATTATTACATTTATTCTTACATTATTAGATAAAATAATTTGTTTGTACCAGAGAGAGCCTTGAAAAACTTCAATTTATCAGAAATTCACATTTAAAAAAAGAGATACTAGAACAAGCTACTAATTAAGTCCTTACCAGGCCTGGTGTGATATCTTCATCACTGTCTCCATCCTGACTACTTTCCACATCAACACTGAGATTCATCGCATCTGCCGTTCTCTTGGGCTGTAGCTTGTTACTTTCAGTATGAACAGCTGAGGCTGAATTTTGCAGCGTGGATTCAGACTTAGAAGATGTGGTTTTCATCTTTGGAGGTATAATCCTTCTGCAAGTTTTCTTTATTTTAGTCTTCTTACACGCAACTTCATTGTTAGAATTCTTTTCTAATAGGGATTTGGGGCACATAAGCTGGTCTAGCTGATAATTACTGAGTGAAAAGGGGGCAAGATAGACCTTAGCTGTCTTTATTAAAACTGTAGTCTCTACTGGTCTCAGAGACACATAAGCGATGTTTTGATTTTCTTTATATTCATTTACCTATTCAGATCAATAAAAGAAAAGAGAGTATTAGAATTCCAAGTCCTGTGCCTTTTCTTACAGGATCCCCAGCAGATCTAATAATTCCCATTTCACAATGACAATATAAATCCAAATTGATGCCAGGTGCGGTGGCTTACGCCTGTAATCCCAGCACTTTGGGAGGCTGAGGCAGGGCCTGAGGTCAGGAGTTCAAGATTAGCCTGGCCAACATGATGAAACCCCGTCTTTACTAAAAGTAAAAAATTAGCCGGGCGCGGTTACTTGCTTGTAATCCCAGTTACTCAGGAGGCTGAAGCAGAATTGCTTGAACCCAGGAGGCAGAGGTTGCAGTGAGCCGAGATCGCGCCATTGCACTCCAGCCTGGGCAACAAGAGTGAGACTCCGTCTCAAAAAAAAAAAAAAAAAAAAATCGCTTATGTGTCTCTGAGACCAGTAGAGACTACAGTTTTAATAAAAACAGCTAAGGCCTATCTTGCCCCCTTTTCACTCAGTAATTACCAGCTAGACCAGCTTATGTGCCCCAGATCCCTATTAGAAAAGAATTCTAACAATGAAGTTGCATGTAAGAAGACTAAAATAAAGAAAACTTGCAGAAGGACTCAAATTCTTTAGGGAAGTCCTGGGGCTGAACTGACATTTTTACCTCAGACTGCTGATTTTGATTCAGGTGGTACTGGGATCTCTCTCTGAAAAACATTGGCAGGCCGGGAGCGGTGACTAACACCTGTAATCCCAACACTTTGAGAGGCCGAGAGGAGTAGATCACTCGGGCCCAGGAGTTCCAAACCAGCCTGGGCAACATAGTGAGACCCCATCTCTACAAAAAATACAAAAATTAGCCCGGCGTGGTGTTGTACATCTGTAGTCCCCGCTACTCGGAAGGCAGGGGTGGGAAAATGGCTTGAACCTAGAAGGATGAGGCCACAGTGAGCCGTGGTCGTGCAGCACTCCAGCCTGAGCGACAGGGCAAGACCCTGTCTCTTTTATAAATAAAAATAAAATAAGATTCTGGCTATTCTTCTCTTTAAGTTTCCTTCTACCCAAAACTGTTTCCTTAGTTTCTTAATTGGGTCCCACACTGTTCTTGCCTGAGCCTTGTCCAGTTTCATTTCTTCTCCCACTCAAGGCCCAGTTGTAGAACACAGGTGAAGTAATTTGGGTTAATCACATTAACAGCAACTTCAAGGCCCTCCATGACTCAAAAATTACTGATAAAACCAAACTTTTCATGGTGTCCTGTATAATGTATACTGTTTCTGGACTTCAGAACTTTGTTCCTGCTGTCCCTTGTCTCCTCCGCAGTTATAAAGTCCTTTCTAATGTGAAATGTGCCCTGACTTTCCAATTAGCATATATACATATATATACATACATATTTTTTTTTTTTTAACACAACCCAGCTTGTAAATTGGCACTGCTTCTGTTATTATCCTGTAAGTCCTTAAAGAGTTCTTAAATAGGCCAGCCGCCGTGGCTTACATCTGTAGTCCCAGCACTTTGGGGAGGCCAAGGTAGGTGGATCATCTGAGGTCAGGAGTTCAAGACCAGCCTGGGCAACATGGTGAAACCCCACCTCTACTAAAAATACAAAAATTAGCCGGGAGTGGTGGCACACGCCACCACTCAGCACTGTGGGAGGCCGGAGTGAGATCATCTCTTGGGCCTGGCCAACATGGTCAAACCTCATCTCTACTAAAAATACAAAAATCAGCAGGGCATGGTGGTGGGCGCCTGTAATCCCAGCTACTCAGAAGGCTGAGGCACGAGAATCGCTTAAACCCGGGAGGTGGAGACTGCAGTAAGCCAAGATCGAGCCACTGCACTCCAACCTGGGTGACAGAAGAAGACCCTGTCTCAAAATAATAATAATTACTTAGATATTTAAATACAAACGTTTTCCAATCAGGAATATATTCTAATAGGTATTTTCTAGAAACTGGAAAAACCTGAAAGCCTAAAAGTGGAGTTTTGGGATTTCAGGCAGGTAATGTCCCAGGCACCTTAAGAGATTTTTTTTTTTTTTTTTTTTTTTTTGGTCACTGGCCTAAATCAGCACCACCTGCCCTGTGACACCAAACACTGCACCACAGCCCACCCTGGCCTCTTGAACTGAGCTAATCGGATACTACTGGCAAGATTTTTATTCCATCAAACTCTACTTCTTCTGAGCTTTCAACAAGCCAAACAGTAACTCACTGTCGCCTGAGTTTCTTGTTCACTATACCGTTCTTGGCTTCAAACCAAGCTAACACGTAAAATCTTTCATTGGAACCTTCCTCACCGCAGGGTCCTAACAGCAAAGCCCAAAAGAAGCAAAATTTCCCTCCAAAAGCAGCTTCCAAATTCTGCAACGTAGAGAACACGCGGGCAGCCGATGAGCATGCGCAGAAACACACTCAACGTCCTAGCTGTGGGCGCCCAAACGTCCTCCACCATCCCACAATCCTCTCGTCACGTATTTCCGGTTTATCTAGCTCAGCCGTAAGTAGTTTCTCTATCAGTCGCGCAGCTGTGTTCGTGGACTTAGGTGGAAGGAATTTCTTCTCTTCGTTGAGGTTGTTGGTGTTCACTGTTTGGAATTAGTCAAGTTTCGGGAATCACCGTCGCTGCTATCAACATGTCGGTCCCAAGCGCTCTCATGAAGCAACCGCCCATTCAGTCTACGGCTGGGGCCGTCCCAGTTCGCAATGAGAAAGGTACGGTACTGACACCCTCTTCCCAGTCGAATTTTAACCCCTTTCGGCCCCAGCAACCTCCAGACCTCTGGGACACACCACTCCAACCCCTCCAGCTCTTAAGATCTGGCTCCCAGATTCTTGGACCTTTCCACCCCCATCCCCTTGCATCCAATCTTGTTCCTGTGGCCTGCTTTCATATTCAGCAAGCACCTCTCGTAGCCTCCACAAATTCCTTAGACTTGTGTTACATATATATAATGTATATTACATATATTAAAATATTCGTTACTTAGGAAATTAAGTATATATCAGAATATATATGTTTAATACATGTATTCTAGAATATATGATTTTGTTCTAATATATATGATTAGAATATATCACTAATTACATATAAATACTAGAATATATGTATTATTAGTCTAATAATTACTAAGGAACTAAGTATATATAAATCTAATAATTAGGAACTTAAGTATATAGCAGAATATAGCAGAATATATACATAATATCAGACTAGATAGATAGAGACTGCTTGTTGGCAGGGCATTGTGCGGGATACGGTCCCTTTTTTGCTGTCCATAGAAGTCTACTTATGCTGCCCAGGCTGGACTCGAACTCCTGGGGCTCAGGCTATCCTCCTGCCTCAGCCTCCCAAGTAGACGCCACCGTGTCTAGTCTCAACATGGCTTTTAAGAATTATCTTTTCATCCCTATACATCTAATTCATTCATCTTAACAGCTTATGAATTCCATTGTATAAAATAAAGTGTAATCCACAGTTTATTCCCTATTGAGGGGCAGGTGGTTGTCCGGTTGTTTAAAAAAGTGCTGCGGCCAGGCATGGTGTCTCCTGCCCGTAAACCCAGCACTTTGGGAGGCTGAGGCGGGCAGAACACCTGAGGTCAGGAGTTCGAGACCAGCCTGATCAACATGGTGAAACCCCGTCTCTAATAAAAATATAAAAAATTAGCCATGTATGATGGTGGGTGCCTGTAATCCCAGCTACTTAGGAATCAGAGACAGGAGAATTGCTTGAACCCGGGAGGTGGAGGTCGCAGTGAGCAGAGATCACACCATTGCACTCCAGCCTGGGCCACAGTGTGAGACTCTGTCTCAAAAAAGGAAAAAAAAAAACAGTTCTGCATTTGTCATTCTGTAGCCAATACTAGCATTATTTAGTACCTGCTGCCAATTGCTCCTCAAAGTAAGTTGTAAGAACATAAGAATTTGTGGAGCACAGTGGCTCACACCTGTAATCCCAGCACTTTGGGAGGCTGAGGCAGGAGGCTCACTTGAGGCCAGGAGTTCAAGACCAGCTTGAGCAACATAGCAAGACCCCCCCCCCATCTCTACAGAAAAAATTAAAAATTAAGGCCCAGCTTGGTGGCTCACGCCTGTAATCCCAGCACTTTGGGAGGCTGAGGCAGGTGGATCACCTGAGGTCAGGAGTTCAAGATTAGCCTGGCCAACATGGTGAAACCCTGTCTCTACTAAAAATACAAAAATTAGCCGGGTGTGATGGCACACGCCTGTAATCCCAGCTGCTTGGAAGGCTGAGACAGGAGAATCACTTGAACCTGGGAGGCAGAGGTTGCAATGAGCTAAGATCACGCCACTGCACTCCATCCTGACCGACACAGCAAGACTCCATCTCAAAAAAGAAAAGAAAGAAAACAAACTTCGAGAACCTAAGAGCTTTATTTCCCATATATTCATCATCTACACACTTGGTTATACCAAATTTTTACATTTTTTGCCCAATCTGACAGTTGTTGAAATGGTATGTCATTATTCTAATTTGCATTCCCCGATCACTAGTGATGCTGGGCCTTTTTTTTTTTTTTTTTTT